GTTTTCTCATGACACTGCTACTTTTGTGGAAGGGCCACAATTCACATTATTTGTAGCAGAATGTCCACCCTGCTCAATAGCACTGAAAGTGACGGGTCTGTCTTTGGGCACGCAGAAGCCCACTGACCTACTTCTGTGCATGTCTTACATCCCATATCAGTCTAAGTTGTGAGGCTCTATGTTTTAGAATGATTGGGAGGAACAGACTGGACTAGGTAGGACCAAAGATTGAGAGCTGGAAGGGGCCTTTAGAAATCAGCTAGTCAAAAGCACTCATTTTACAGATGGGGAAACTGAGGTGCAGAGAAGCTAAGTGATTTGTCCACGGTCACATAGGTAGCAAGTGGCCGAACTAGGGTTCGAAACCATATTGTCCAACTCCAAAATCAGCACCCTTTTCACTTGGACTATTCTGTCTCTCAGCTTGGAATATTTTTTAAAATTTTCATTGTCCTCATTTCTGTTTTTCACCACGATTCCAGGAGAGAGTAAATACCTAAGGGACCGAGACTGTCAGATATACCATCTCCACCTCTAAGAACCTCTGGTTTCCTTCAAGGCTCAGCTCATGTGCCACCTTATACACACATGAAGTCTTTCCTGATTTCCTGGCTGCTACCCCCCCCCCCCGGATATCTTCTATTTATTTTGTATATTCCTGTAATATACAACGAATGGAACGTTGAATACATATGTCGTATCCTTCTACCCATCGAATGTGTGTTTCTTGTACTGCACAGAGTGCTGTAGCTATCTGGAAAGGTAGCTAGTCTGGCTATTGCCCTCATCAGCACTAAAGGGGACATTAGAACCTTGCCACAACCCACCCCTCTGATGCTGGCTGATTGGCCTGATGTGATGTGTTGGGGGCTTCTCCAGCATTTTGCTAGAAATAGTTTGCCAAATGCTTGTTATGGAAGACAGAAGCAATCCTATGGAATTATTTCACTGATAGATGTAGTTATCTATCTATCTATCTATCTATCTATCTATCTATCTATACACACACACATATATATATACACACACATATATATATATATATACACACACACATATATATATCCCACTATTAGATTATAAACTTCAGGAGGGCTAGGAAGGTGCTCATTCTGAACTTTATATCTTTTCCTACAGCTGTGACAGGGTTTTGCAGACACTGGGTCCTTAACAATTCCCTAGAGATGCAAAAAAGGAGTTTCTCCTAGTTCTGCTCACTTCTCTCTGTATCAGTTCATACAAGTCTTCCAAGGTTTCTCTGAAACCATCCTTTTTGTCCTTTCTTATGGCACAGTGTGTCACATTACATTCACATACCATACTACTTCATTGGTTATATAATTTTTTAAACTTTTAGATGACTCTTGCTTTATTTCTGCCAGGAATTCTTTTAACAAAAGAGGATCATAGAGCTGAAAGGAACCAAAGCTTAAAGATGATCTTGAATCAAGATTCTAAACCTACTCCTTGAGCCAACTATGGCCCAAAGATCTTAATTGACTTGCTCACGGTTATACTGTATTTTGGAGGTACCCCCATAAGAATGTGGACTCACTGTGGCCCTGGCCTTTCCTCATCACCACTTGCCTAGACCTTTTTAGACTCTGATCCACTCTCCACATGGCCACCATATATCACTTCCTTGGTCATTTACTCCCTCTTGCCCCTACGAGTTCAAGCTCGAGTCTCACTTGATCCCTTCTGTATTCCAGGCCAGCTGACCTCTTTACTTTCCCTTCAACTCAGCCTTCCATCTCCTACCTCAGTATCTTAATGCTTGTCTGGAATGTGCACTCTTCTCATAGCTTTCCTTAGCTAGAGCATCGACACCAGGTGACACTATTAAGCTCCGGTGGCAAGAGATTCTCTGAATGATGCTCCACCTCTGAGTGTGGCCAAGGAAAGGTTGAATAGTTAGATGATGGGGAGTACCTTTCAGAACAGAGGCAGAGATCAAGTATATACCTCCTAAAAAGGTCTGAGTTGAGTTTGGTCAAAGGCATCTATTTCTTTTGATTTTGCTTCTGCTTCATAGGCTCAGCTCACATGCACCTTCCACATGCATGAAGTCTTTCCTGATCTCCCGGCACTGCGTTGGTTATTGGGGATTTGGGGGTTGGAATTATCATAGGCTACAGATTTAGAGCTGAAGGGATTTTGGTGACCATTAAGTCATACCATCATTTTACAAATGCAGAAACTGAGAAACAGATAGGTTAAGGGACTTGCCCAGGGTAATACAGGTGGTAAATGTCTGAGGACTTTCTGACTCTAAGGCCAGCGCTCAATCTGCTTTACCACCTACCTGCCTATGAGCTTTAATTATCTACTTATCAATATGATAATGATGTGCCCAAGGCAGTAATCTTTTTCTCAGTTTACTTTTCTTCTTGATCCTTTGAACATTTGTAAATATCCATGGAGACATCTCTTAGGAGCAGTGGGGATAAGCAACGAGATTTTTTCAGGTGGCTAATGCTCTCCAGTCAGAACACACTTGGTCTTTGTCTTTTATGAGCATCTAATCAGACTTCCATTTATCATTTTGTTCCCTAAAAGTTAAGCCATTATGATGTACTCCTATTCATCATCATTGTAGAGCAACTATATATTAGGTTGTTAGAAAGCCATTGTTTCATTTTAGACCAAATATTTTTCTAAGATGAATCTCTTACTAGTTAAATATGAGGAAATGCTCCACTTTCTTTTTAACCGCCCCCCCCAGGGTTCACATTTCAAAATTAAAATAATTCCCATGTAAACACAATAACTGTAAAATCTCCATGGTGTCTTGAACTAAAGGCATTTCCTTACAAAGAGATAAGTCACTGTGCTCCTTTTTCAGACACAAGCTTTCATTTGTGGTTTCCTTTCATCTCTTGAAATAATTACTTTTCTTTTTCTGCCTTCAATAGTTGGTTCTGGTCATTAACATTTCTGTAAAATTAAGTTTGAAAGGTGCTTTTAATGTTCAGACCGAATGCAGTGCACATTTGGCTGTTAAAACCAACCTACTTAAGGCTAAACTAATGTTGAACACTCCGGGCTATTCCAAGCTGTCACTACCCAGCTTCATGGTGCTGCCCAGGGCAGTGTGCACACTACTTACTGTTCTAGTGGGGGGAGGGCAGTTATTCCATCCATAAAGGCCTCCCATGATACTTCTAAGCATGATACTTCAGTCCTTAACATTGTACTTTGCCACAAATGTACCAGAAACTAGCATTTCACTGGAAATTACAGAGAGCAGCTATTGGGCAGTATTTCAGATCCTGGTTATAAAGCCCAGGCCAAGAAAGGAGTTTGGGGTCATGAGCTCCTTCAGGAAAAAAAAAATCCTCATTGGGACTGCATTTGAATATTGTGCAGCTGGGTCTGTAGTTCCTATATAGCATGGTGTAGGGAAGAAGGTGCTGGACTTGGAGGTCAGAAGGGCGCCCTAGATGCCATCAAGTCCAAACGTATTTTCCAAATGAGGAAATTGAGACAAAAACAGGTTAAGGGATACCTGCTTTCCAGCACTTCAGGGGGTCTAGTTGGGAAACCAAGGTATAAATAAATATGTGAAAGAGTAAAATAGCAGTTAAACGGCCTTACAGCATGCCTCAGTGGCACAGGAGTGGTATTAAAAAGGTCTGAGGAGTTCAGAGGAGGGGAGGATTACCTCTATTAGAATGGTCTGTAAAACTGTCATGGAAGAGGAGAGATTTGAACTATGTTGTGAGGGATGTTGGCTCCTTCTGTGAGGGCAGAGGCTCTTTTGTTTTGGCCTTTGTATTCCCAGGGCCTAGAACAGCTCCTGGCATGTCATAGGTGCTTAATAAGTACTTATTGGATTGACGTGAAAGAGGTAGATTAGAAATGGGAGTGTTTTTGGCGGTAAGAGAAAAGGCAGAGGCTAATCCAGCGCAGCCCTGTGTCGGGCCTATAGTTAAAAAGACATTCTTTGTTTTATGCTTTGGTTTTCTGCTGGTACCTTTGGCCTGAACCTGTGCATTTCTCCCTCTTTCTTCTCCATTTACGGAGGTACTACTTAAGCACACACGGAGTTAGGAAGGAAAAGGAGCCTGCGTATCTCATGGCGGCCTGTTTCCCATCCAGTTGCCTGTACAGCATAAGTGTCCCTTCTAATGGTTGTGCATGGCCAAGGGTCATGCTCACAAACAACCTACAAGAGCCTTTGCCTTGCAGGGCTACTTCATTTACCACATAGGCCTATTTCCTGTGTGGATCAGACAGTGGCTCCATGCTCTAAGTTAAGACAGCTGATGCCGAGAGGCTAAGGTTGGGCGTTGGAGCTCCCTGCAGAGTAGAGAGCTGTTTGCTGCTGGGGACAGGAGAGAGAGAACTCTGCATTCCTCCCTCCTGTCTCTGTCCCTGCTCACTAGAACATTAAGGAGGAAAGAAGGAACGTAGCTATTGGAAGAGAGTCTTCACTGTCATCTAGGAGACCCATATGAGAAGAAGGCCTGTGCGTCCTCAGTGTCCCGTCTTCAAGTCTCAGTGCTCTTTGGCCCCTCCATTTGATTCTGTATTCTGTCCCTCTGTTTTCAGTGTTTTCGTGGCAGGACAAGGTACAGTTTCAAACCACCAGGTAAATAAAGGCATAGACTGTCATGTTCCTTATATTTATGTGCTTGCTACGACCAGAAAGTCCTATTTGAAGTTTTTGTCTCTCTACATACATTTGCCATTTTTGGAAAGGTTCTAGTTTTTGTTTTGGCGTAAGTAACACTCAGCTTACTACCATTCCTTGGAACAAAAGTGCCCCAGGTGCACAAGGGGTACCTGGGCAGCCCACAGAAATGTCCTGGGACCCTGATCTTAGGACGGTTCAGAAAACGAAGACTGTTCATTAACAATATCTTCCTTGGGACCCCACTTCTCATGCCCAGATGGGTTCTGCCTCGTCTTCTTTACATGTGTTTCTTTTTAAGAATTCGGGTTCTCTTAAGAATGTGGACAACGAAGCTAACTTAGAGCTCTCTGCCATCTTTCAGTTCTGTCATTCGATCAAGAGCTATTTGATGATTCCCAGTCACTGTGGGGAGGAAAAAGAAGCATAAGACAGGGAGCCGGGCCTCAAGATGCTTACCACCAAGTTTGGGCGCCAAGACAAACAGGTGAATAGTTAAAGAACAATATGAGATTTCAGTAATGCAAGACGGCGATTTGAAAAATGCTATAAGCTAGTATATGAAATGATGAGTTTTTTTTCCTATGTGCTATAAGCATAGCTATAATTTATTCCCAAAATACATTTAATAATTAAAAACTGAAACATTAAACAATCGTAATGTCTGACTTGGAGGAGACCACATTGGCTATACCATAGTCCCAAAGAGGTTCTTTCTCTAGCCTCTACTTCAAGATGTCCAATGAGGGAGAACACATTTTTTTTTTCCTAAGGTAGTGCTCTGTTTCCATTTGGGATAGCTCTAATTAATTGCTGGACCATAACAACTGGAAAAATTGTGGGATAGACCAAGGTGAGGCTAGTGCCCATGTTATATTCTGATGATTGGTGGAATTTTACCAGATTTTAAAGAATTGGGAATTGCAGAGAAAAGAATCTCTTCTACTCTCTAAAATTATCACTCACCCATCACTGAAGACATTCTAATGCTTGTACCATTTGTGTATGCTTTAAGGAACCAGGGCCCAAAGCATAGACAGACTCAAGGCTCGACTAGAAGGAAATGGGATTGATTGTTGACACTGGTCTCAATACCTCTTCGTTAAATTTACTGGTTTGTAGTGCTTCCAATTCAGTCTTCTAAGGGTCCCTTTCCTGTTCTAAATCCATGATCCTATGAGCCAATCCAACAAGTATTTTCTTTCTTTTTTCTTTCTTTCTTTTCTTTTCTTTTCTTTTCTTTTCTTTTCTTTTTTTTTTTTTTGCAAGGCACTTGGGGTTAAATGACTTGCCCAGGGTCACACAGCTAGTGAATATCACGTGTCTGAGGCCGGATTTGAACTCAGGTCCTCCTGACTTCAGGGCCAGTGCTCTATCCACTGCATCACCTAGCTGCCTCCCAACAAGTATTTCTTAAGGATTATGTGGCAGATACTGTGTCGGTACTAAGGATGCCAAGTCAAAAATGAAAACAATCTCTGTCCCTGAGGAACTTACATTTTCACATGATACTTTTTTGCCCATCACAACTTGAAAGAGTTAGAGGCATGAGTTTGACAATTGGAGGAGCTCTGGATTTTGGGGCAGAAGAGCTGGGATCAAACTCTGGCTCTGCCATTGACAATGCTTGCCAACTTGGACAAGTCCCTTCACCTCTCTGTGACTCAGTTGCCTCATCTCTAATGAGGGGCAGTTGGACTAGACGGCCTTTAAGCTCTCTTTTAACTTTGATCTACAATGCTATGAAACATGTTATAAAGAGGGATCTTGGCACCAGGGAGCAGCTTAGAGTCACTAAAAGCACTACACAGTTTGTCAAATATAGTATCTCCCATTCAGAGTTGGGTCATTGTTCATTGTCCATTTGCAGTGCCCGCCCCAAGTAGTTGGAGGGGACCAATAGACTGGCCAATAAACTGAAGCCTGTCTGTACAAGAGACACTTTTCATCCTTTTAGTTTTTTCTGTGTGAATTGTTAGGCCAATGTGTTTTGAATAGTCAATCTGTCAAATAAGGGGTTGAAAGAGATGGCCTGTGGTGCCTGCTAGCTCTAAATCCTGATTCAACTGCATTCTTCCACTCTGAGGAAAGGGCAGAAGAGAGAAAGAGGCAGGAAAAGGGTCACGTGAACATATGAGAATGGATATGGATCCACTAATAAAAGCACGAGACTTTGGTTTCTTCTCGCTTTTCCCACCCTGAGGGAAAGGGCAGTAAAGTCACCAGAATGAGAAGAGTAACGGTCCCGCTGTCCATCTGGACTGCTGTCTTCAGTGATCTGGGTAGCGTCTAGGTGAGCGCAGCTAGGATGGCGAAGGCCCTCGGGCCAATGTCATTTGAAGAAGTCTGAGAGATGAGTACAAGAGAGGATTCTGGGTATTCGAAGGGCTGTCCCCTGGAAGAGGGATTAGACTTGGTCTGCTTGGCCTCAGAAAGCAGAACAAGGAGCAGAGAGTCAAATGTGGGCTGAAGTCAGAACAACTGCTTAACAATTAGAGCTGGGCCACAGTGGAAGAGGATGCTTTGGGAGGTGACAACAACCTGTCATGGGAGGTCTTCTGGGAGGAACTGATGACTACTTGTTTGGTTTGCTGCACTGGAGATTCCTTCTGGGGCTAGGTTGGACTGGATGGTAAGTAAGGATCCTTTCAGTTCGAAATTTTTGCCATCTGAGTGTGCAAGTATGAATGGCGAATTGGAGAGAAGCAAGCTGCTGTCCATTAAGAGGTGAGTGCTTGGTAATGATGATATCACAACTGATCCGTCTGTAGCCTCCAGGGACTGAGACACCAGCAGTCAGCCCTGGGGTCACGCTTATCATCGTGACAGTGGAGGCAGCCAAACTAATTAGTGTAAGTGATGGATGACTAAGTGGATGGAGGCAGCATGTCCAATTTGGGCTGACTAAAATTCCTACAGACTTTGTGATAATTTTTTTAAACAACCCTTATAAATGCCCCCTCCACCCAGTAGTCTTGGTTAATTATAAATAGTCCTAATTGAGGTTTTTCTGTTAATTCTGGAGCTGGTTCTATAACAACCTTGCTGTTGTTGAATACAAAGCTAGGGTTTTTGTTTGTTTGTTTGTTTGGTTGGTTGGTTTTTGTTTTGACATAGAGAGGAGCCATGAACAAATTTAAAGCAAATGTAGCAAACAATCTTTTCCTCCAGAAATAGTTTTCTTTCATTGCTTGGGTTTTTAGTGAGGCTCAAGGGAAAAAAACCCTGCAAATAGCATCACCCAGTATAACACTAGCAAATAAGTGTCTTTAAAGGTTTTTGAAAGAATATGAACCTTACCCTTTGACATTTGTGAGCAAAAATACAATAATCAGTTACACGGTCAGTGCCTGTTTTAAAAAAGCAAAATAAATACCACTCTAGTGGTGAGGATGACTGCTTTGTTGTAGAGTCCATCATTGTCATGGAGCATGCTATTGCTATTTGGGGCCCTACTCAGTGGAACTGAATTTGCTCGGTGGGCTTCTGAACAATTGTTGGACTGGAACGATGCACAGAACATTATTTGTAATGATAGCACCTGTTTCGTGGCGATATCTTTTATTTTGATTGATAATGCCCCTACTTCAGGCTAATGAAGATTCCCCCCACTGCCACTTAATAGAGATTTTCTTTTTACTAATGCTTAGATCACATTAAAAAAAGAAGAAGATAGCTTGAAAACAATAATCTCGGAAAGGAAGGAAATGCGATGTGTTTCTTTGCCTTTGCCTGACACTAGAAAGGACATTGGGCAGTAAAGACATGTTTTTCATCCATGCGCCTGTCTACAGCAATATTTTATCCCACTTTCCCCTACTAAGATGTGGAACTGAGAAAGTTGAGACTCTGAAGAAGTCTCCAGAATGCCATGGGAACAATTATTTCCTAGTGCATGAAGGCTTTGCCCCTAAGGGACCTCTGATTTCCTTTATCCTCTTTCACATCTGAGTAGCTTTTTATACGAAGAAGTCGTCTCAGAGTGGCCAGAGGTCTTTCCCAAAAGATCTTGTAACTAAAATCACTGGAACACCACAGTGGAGATTGAGCCCAAACAGAATGTCCAGTTGCCCTCCCTCCACTCTTTTCTTTTTCACTCTTTGCCTCCATCTGTATCTGTGGGCTTTTTTTCCATCCACAACAATGCAGATTGCACGGAATCCATCCATGCCCGCCTGCCTGCCCAGCCAATGCGAATCTTGTCTGTAACTGTCATTAATTGTTCATGAAACAAGAATGACATTTTGGGGGCAAATGCTTCACTTTGAGAGGGTCTTCATGCTTGCCGATGTAAAAAGATGCTGCCTCTCAGTGAGGTAGTTTGCAATTCCTTATAAAAAATGAGAAAAATCACCTTTGCATAGCATTGCCTTCGGAAGGTCAACTTTACTTTGGTTTCGAGTGCGCAGGCTCAGTGGTAGGTTGGGTCTTTAGGGGCTGATTGGCTATTTGATTTGTGTTTTGTTTGTACTGGTATCCCAGATACATTTGTGTTCACTTCGGTTGTGGCAACCTTTTGAAAACCTTTGAAGCTCAAAAGGTGACATGGAGCATCAATAAATTTTAAAAATTTGCAAAAACAATAGATGAAGTGGGATTTCAAATAGGGTGCTCAGCACTTAGAAAACAGAGCCCTGCCTTGGAACAATCTTCAATTAAAACATTCAGTTTCATTGTGTTTATTCAGGGTGTGTAAAGACCAGGCTGACATGTATTAAGCCCTGAATCGCAGTGCACAGCTGGAGTCTAGCCTGGCATCTTCCAAATGATTGCCATGTGAGCAGCACTGGAGGGACACTGGAGGGAGATGAGGAGACAAAAGGCAGTTCCACACAATCAGCAAAGGAGGAGCATTTATTTTTGCATAGAAAGAACGCTGCTGGGAGTGGGAGGGTCATCAAGCATTTTTCCCCCTTTCCTAAGGTCTCCAGAACACATATGTCAACTCTTTTCCTAAACTGGGAAGGGGGAGCGGTTTGAAAAAGAAAGGGAAGAATTACCAACAGCAGCAGCAGTAGCAGCAGGATTTTGCCCCTTGCAACTCAGTTAAAGGGAGGACCTCTGCATACTCAACCCCTCTGATCGGAGTTCCCACGTGTAGTAGAATTTTTCGTAGCAATTAGGTTTCACCTCTACCCAGGGGAGGGTCTTTAAGGCCATTTCAATGTGATGAGCCTAGTTATGACGACATACAGTAAAATAACTCATTCGTCCAGGCTTCAGCATCTTTTCTGCTCATTATTGCTTGTAAGTCGCACATCTACCACTGGTAGGTACTATTAGCCCCTTACCATTGGGCAAACTGAGGCCCTGAGAGGCATAACGATGCAACTCCGTGGTCAGGCCACTCCTCTCCCATAGGACCTCTTTCTCCTGGGACACCGGACTAGTCAATCAGGAGGCCAAGTGGCCAGTTCCTGACAATGCTTTTCTTGCTTTGTTTCCCTCAGAATTAACAGGCTTTACACTGAACTGACAAATAGATTA